CGGAGAAGCTCGCAGAGACCACAGAGACCGTGTCTGGGTCTTTGAGGCTGACCTGGGCCGGTTTACGCATATCTCCAACCCGGACCGCTTCTGTGATCGCATCGGGGCGGAGCTGCGTGATTTCAGGCGGCTCCCGGATGGGGCGCCTTGTGTCACTTCCGATGGTCTCTGGCGCACGTATCGCCTTGACCGGAGGCCGGTGCAGCGGGCGAAGCCTCCCGTGCGCTACCCGAGTACCATTCTCGGGCCAGCGTACGAGGAGACGGACTTCATGATGCCCAACGCCGCAGCTCCGAGTCCCTACCGTCACTTGTTTAGGGACGAGACCCCGCTGGGCGAAGCGTTGGAGGCGATTCGCGAAGAGCAGGGGAGATCCGGAGAGGTTCCCGAAGATGTTGAACCGCCTCCTCCGGCGTTCCCCGACGAGCTTTTGGAGCCCCAAGATCCGGACGTGGACGCTCCCCGGGAAGATACCCCGAGGGAGCACGTCCAAGCGATGAGGGAAACCTTTTCAGACCTTATCTGGAACGCCCACGATGGGCTCAGAGAAGAAAAGCTCGCCGCGGGTGTCTTGAACCCTATCGCAAAGCAGACTGACACCCAACTGGAGATAGATCCCCCTATGCTGGAAACGGATCTGCTCCCTCGAGAGAAGGGGGGTGTCCAGAGGACTGGAACCCCGCCTGATCCACGATGGGGTGCGGAGCCTCAGGCTTCCAGCCCTAAGAAGAAAGCTCCGCCATCTTCGGCGACGCATTCCGAGGATCAGGAGATGGCTCCTGCTCCTCCGGATGCCTCTCAGGAGGCGTCTTCCTCCTCTGCAGCGCCTGCGGCCAACGTGACTCCCCCAGCTGAGGCAGGGAGTCCGGAGGTCCGGATCCCTAGCCTCGCGGAGTCTATGAAGGCAGGCTTGGCACGGGAAAGAGCGGCGGCACGCGCCAAGGAGGAGCTTGCTGCTTCGGCCCAGGAGGCCGCGGCTGCGGCTCCTGAGGCACGGCGCGACACCCGCCTTCCTGCAGTGACCAAGGAGGAAAAGGAGACAGCAGAGGCTAAGTCCCTCTCCTCCCTCAAGCGCGCCGTTGAGGAGAGCGGCTCTGAGCGTCAAGGCCCCGCGGCCAAGCGGGCCACCACCAAGAAGGAAGAAGCGCCCTCGGCACCAGCCGGCCCTGCAGGAGCCGCGGCCGGGACAGGCGCGGCTCCCTCGTCTAGTGGCGAGGCAGGTGCCGAAGAAGGTGCCAGCGGGGCCGCTGCTCCGTCGAGCACAGACAAGCGGCGACCCGCGGAGCCGGAGGGACCGCCGCCGCCCAAGAAGCGATTCACAACATGGCAGGATACCATGGAGTCGCCGGCTCCCCAACACCGAGTTTCGGGGGTTTACGGACTCTCGAACGAGGTTCCCGGGGCCGATTGGCGCGACGTGGACTGGGATGCGACTCCACCGCCGGGGCCTGGAAGGCCCGGCGCCCGCGACGTGGATCCCAGGCTCACGGTCCCCCTTGATCTCCAACATGATGAACAGATCAGGGAATTCTTCCGAGGCGGTGGTGAGCATACGCTCGAGCAGCTCCTCGCGTTGGCGCGGCGCCGGAGGCGCGCGTTCGTCTACCAGGCTGCGATTTTGTCGAACAGGCCAGTGTTTGAAATCTGGCCCGATTACGATGAAAACGAGCTTGGACCGACACCCGAGCGCGTTCCGCTCCTCACAGGCAAGGTCTGGCCTTGGGGCTGGTGGGATTGCTTTACTTGTGGGCGTGCGAACCCACCAGAACGCAATACCTGCCGGCACCATGATTCCGAGGAGCTCGGAGGTGCCCCCTGTGTGGGGATCTTCGAGGACAGCCTGTACTGGAGCACGCCGGTGGACCTGCGAACGGCGCCGGCGTGGTTCATCGAGGTCTGGCTCGATGAACATAAGGAACGCATAAAGGAGTACCTTTATGCGAAGCGTTCGGACGCGATCGCCGCCGCAATGTCCAACGCCTACTGGACCTGTGGGCGGGACACATGCCAAGAGAGGAACATGTTATGGCGCAAACTGTGCTTTAAGTGCAGTGGCCCTAAGTCGGGCGCGTCGTTCATAACCCACGGCATGCCGCCCCAGGAAGGCGACGATGAAGCTGCTTCTTCGTCGGAAGAGAGCGAGGGCACGAAGATGGAACGGATCGAGCGTTCCATCAACGCCGATCCCCTTGCGGAGCATGCGAGGAAATTCCTCCGCTCCGGACGGAAGAGGCTCCGCGCTGAAAAGCGCAGGCAGGCAGAGCTCTCTCAAGACTCTGCCCGAGCCTGGTGGAGCCAACCTTCCTCCGGGCGCGGTGCACCCAGTGGGGGCCGCAGCTCTGGCAGCAAGGGTGGTGGCAAAGGTGGTGGAAGGGGAAGCTCGAACCGCTACGGCAACCGAGGATGGTGGGCCGGAGGTGCTGCCGGACTGGCATACTCCTCCCGACTCGGCGAGCGTGCTGGGCAGCCCGCCCTCACGCTCCCACTGCGTGGCCCGGGTGGCCACAGAGTGGCGCCCGAGGCCCCTGCCGTTTCTTCTCGCCCCGCTGTCTCTTCCGGGCCCTCGAACCGTGGTGGGTTCCTTGGGGCCGTGCGCTCGATAGGCGCTGCGGTCTCCAGCTGGGCTCTCTCCAGGAGAGCGCGCAATCGCGCAGCCCACGCCACAACGGGCAACATTGGATGGAAGATGGGTTTGGTGGCCGCTGCGCTGGCGCCTACCCTCTTCACTGTTGAGCGCGGTGCCAGAGAGGTGGCACACGTGAGCCTCACTGCAGTTGCCACTGCGGCGGAGGACCTCATCGAGGAATCCTCTGGTATCCTCGTTCGGGGTGTCCGCGTGGTTGGCTTGACGGCCGTCGTCCTACTGTGGACGTTTGCGGCCGTAGTGCTGTGGTGGGCCGGACGTGTCGCCACTAACCGGCTTATGCACGCCATGAACGGCAACCCTCTTGGGAGTGCTGTTCTGGTGTCGCTTGAGGGCCGAGAGGCTGTCTTTGAGGTCGCGTCCAAGACCAAAGCCGGAGCGCACAGGGTTCTCGTGAAGGTCGGGTCGGGCGCGGACGGCGCAGGCTGCGACTGCAGGGCATTCCTGAACGAGGGACGTTGTGGTCACGTAGAACGCGCTGTTGAAGCTGCGGGGCAACTCGTGGCCATGACAGGCGCGAGCGCTGCCCCAACGCTGCCCGCCGCCCCGGCCGCGACTAGACGCGCCCGTGCGATTCTCGGCGCGCCCGCCCTGGAACAGGGGTGTTTAGCCGGCATGGTTTCGAAAGCAAGGGCGCTTTCGGAAAGAGCGCGGAATGTCGGCAGCCCGTCGGAGGGTTGCCTCGACGGCATTTCCAAGCTCAGAGGCCGCCAAGGGGTGGCCACAGTGTCGGCGCCCCCGACGGAGACTGTTCCGAAGACGCCTGCCAGTGGGGCTACCCGTCCGGGTGCCTCTGCAGTGTCTCCGGCTCCGACAGTTCCCTTGTCGAGCCAGGCGCGGCGCGTCCGGGACTTTCCGCTCCCAGATGGCTTCGAGCGAGCTGGGGTCAAGTTTCTGACCCTTCCCGAGTACCACAGCGTGGTGCAAATGATGCTGGCGGATGCTGGGCAGGGCGACCACGTCTACGTGCGGGCCTACAGCTTCGACAGTAAGCCCTTGGTAGGAGCCCTCGTGTCCTCGCTGGAGCGAGGCGCCCGAGCTCACGTGCTGGCCGACAACTCTCAGACGAGCAGGACCAAGCTCCAGCTGCAGTCCCTTAAGGAACTAGGTGCTGCAGGAGTTCAGGTCCGTGTCGGCAAGGGCACCTCGGTCAAGGCTGCTAGACGACAGGGTGGCGTATCCGCTCTACAGGTCTTTGACGGGAGCGGCTAGGGAGGCACGGTAGTGCTCCCGAAGCGCGTGGAGTAACGCCGCAGCTTCAGCTGCTCGTTTCACCAGCCCTGTGGCCGCAGTGCGGCGCAGGCTGTGTACAGTAGGAAACCAGAGCCTCGTGCAGCACAGGCCGTGAAAAACGAAGGTCTTGTGCTGAGTGCGAAGGGTTTGTAGGAGGGCAGGGTCTGTAGGTCAGTTTTACGGCCTCCGGCCGCCCGCGGAATCCTACGGCTCTATCGTGCTCTCGGCTGAGGGGCGAATGTAACTGTACATAGTCTGCGGGCTGGCTGTTGTGCTGTATGCTTTTATGCATGCTCTTCTGTAATTCGTATTCATAACATTTTTGGCTCAAGTGAGCACGGCAGTGTGTCGTTGGTAGCTTCTCGTTGCCGCGACGCAATTGCGCGCAGGCCGTCCTGGGCGGACGTTCGACCTGTCACGGTCGTTGGACTTTCTGCTTGGACGGAAAACGAGGGTGCGTGCTGCCCCTTTGGGTTTCCGTTCACCACATATAGTTTCGTATAGTTTCGTATAGTATAGTATATTAAAGTAGTAGTAGTAGTAGTAGTAGTAGTAGTAGTAGTAGTAGTAGTAGTAGTAGTAGTAGTAGTAGCAGTAGTACTAGCAGTAGTACTAGCAGTAGTACTAGCAGTAGTATCAGTAGTATCAGTAGTATCAGTAGTAGTAGTAGTAGTAGTAGTAGTAGTAGTAGGAGTAGTAGTAGTAGTAGTAGTAGTAGTAGTAGTAGTAGTAGTAGTAGTAGTAGTAGTAGTAGTAGTAGTAGTAGTGGTAGTAGTGGTCGTAGTCGTGGTGGTGGGCATCAGCAGCAGCAGTATTAGCAGCAGCATTATTGGTAGTACTTGTTCTTGTTGTTGCTGTTGTTGTAGCAGGGAGGGGTGATGCCAGCGCCAGTAGCACTATCGCAAGTCTTCTTGAGAGTGGTTGGAGTGTAAGGCTGCAAAGCACTGGCTTGAAAGCCGATGGTGAGGTGGAAGACTTCAAAAATGCCTTCGTCACCCTGGCATTGCCGCTCTGGGTGTTGTGGGAAGCTGAGCGTGCCCTTCAGTCAATGTTCAGCGCCGAGGGCGCAGGACTAGGGCGGAGTAGATGTCGACTTCTACAACGACTTGCAGCATTACAGGTCATGTTGCATCCGCCCGCAGAATCCAACCTGCTGTTCATAGCAGGGCCTCTTCCTGGCACAATCGCCTTTGTTCGGAGGTCAGAGCCGAACTTTGGTTTTCACAAAAATATTGCAACAGGCATGTCTCAGCATGAAGCAATCCCGGCTGGGCTTATGGTTTGGTTGCGAAAGGGTGCTTCCAGCAGGAGGAAGGGGGGGTGGTAGCCATGGGCACGAAGCACAGCACGCAGGTCCCCGAGGTCTTCAGACCCTGCTCACGAGAGTCAGGTCAGAGCCTTTGCCACCGCTGAAGACGGTGAGCAAGGATCACGACCCCATCGTGATGGGCCCGGCATTGACCCCAGATGCTTCAACTCAGGACCTGCGAGTCACGGGTTTGGTCATGCAGAAGGGGTCAAGACTTCGACCTCCAAGGCCTCTTAGGAAAAAGGTCAGATGTGCAAGCTAAGCCAGACTTTTCGTACATTTGGGATCTAACCCACAGGGCTGTCGACCGGGAGATCTTAACGCCGTCCAGGATGCCGTAATACCCGTACATGAAGCAAATCCGAAGTCTGAAGCTAAGAAGTCACCCCCCCAACTTGAACTCCATCCGAATTGCCCCCTTGCCTTGACATCCTCACTAGGTCAAAGCAAGACCAGAAGGCTTCACCACCTGGGACAAGGCCGGGCCACGCCGAGAGCAAATCGGTAGTTCCCCGACACTGGTGAGTTTAGTGGAGCAAGGTCTGCAACTTGTCCTCTGGGTCGGAAGTGTGGGCTCAGCATACTCTCAGAGGTTGTTGCTGAGGACACAGGGTGTCAAGTTTTGGGGCTTCCGGGGTTGCCGAACGCAGACTTGAGCATGCTCGGAAATATTTGTGACTTTTTGGAGTTCGGCAGTCTGCCTGCAGTGTTTTAAGCGACAAAACCCGAAGGACTTCGGAAGTTGAGGCTTGATGAGTTCGGGTCTATGAAGCCTGAACCAGAGGTAATTGGGATGAAGGACTGCCGTCTAGGCCTGGGCGTTCTTCGTGGTTTTGGTGCCGCGTCTTCTGCGCGAGCCTGTTGCAGGATTGTAAAGTTTTGTTGGTTGCCCCTTGCACCTATTAGTATTCCAGAGGCCGCAGCCCCGAAACCGGTGACAGTTGGTCTAGTGTTGGCTTAGGCAAAAATAGCAACGCATGCCTGAATTGAGCCGCTCGCTTGACGAGGTAGAATGCAAGCTGGGGGACGTGACTCTGAACCTTGGCCTCCAATCAGACAATCGGAGCTCTGAAATGCCCTGGTCTGGCACTTTGCCCTGCATCATGCTTGCGGCACCTTCCTTCCCTCAGCGGGAACTTCGTGCATGCAGCCACATGTTCACCGCGAGCCCCAAAGCCAACACATCATCTGTGAAGTGAGTCAGCCAGAGGCTTGAAGTTGTGGGTAGGGTGGACGGATGGATTGAGGAGCATCGCAAGCTCCTATCGCCCAGCTTTTGACGAGAAGAGACAGTGACAGGTTTCCAATCCTCCTTAAACGCAAACCTCGAAACCTCGACAGCTTCAACCTTCGGTCGCAATCCGAAAATCGCAAAACCGCCATCTGTTGCAGCCGAAGCTGTCGCGATACAGACTCCCTGAAAGGTGTCATCAGCGGTAAGCCCTTTCGTGGTAGACTCCTGCAGCGGTGTGTGCAAGGAAAGAGTTCCTCGATTGGCTGACAGCAGAGGCGGAGCCGGTGTCAAGCTGATGAAGGACACTTAAGATTTTGGGCGATTTGTGTTTTTTGGGGGGTGGGTGGTCATGGGACTGAGGGGATCAGAGGTTGCAAATTTCGGGATGCGGATCTCGGTTCCAATGTCCACACCGTCAGACAACATCTCATCTCCTTGGGCATCCAGGGTGGCTAGCACTCCGCCTCCATGGGTTCCACAAGGTGACAGGTACTGGCAAAGGCCGCTGAAGCCATGTTTAAGGCAGTCAGTTTCAGCGACGACGTGTCACCCTGGGTCCAGCACTTGAAGATCCCCCCGGCCCCAGAGTTGGACAGGCTTTTGAACTCCGTCCTCCACTCCAATCGTAGCTGTGAATAATGCTCTGCACCCCGTCGCCCTGGAGAAGTTCTCAACCCAACTGCCAAACAGCCATCCTCCACAGGTCAGCATCGAGGTCATGATCATGTCTTCTGGCAACGCCTGCCTGTACAATTCGTGCCCTTTGTGCTGGTGGCTTCTGGGGTTTCGGACGAGTGACAGATCACCTTTCCGGTGGAGTGTTGGCTTTCGCATGTGTTGTAAACTGCATGTCACGATGCAAAGAACGTCAAGGGCTCGAGGCCAGGTTCGCAACTGTCTGCAGAAGTTGGATCTAAAAGCAGGGTTTCGAATATGTCACACACTAGATGCTATTGCTCCAGCCGATTCCCCATCTTTCTGGCCCCGGAACACTTCGGAATCGTGGCGGCTCAAGCTTTCGGTTTTAGCTTTGACCATTTCCTAGCTGGCACACAAGACCCAGCCCCTTGAACCAGGCGACCTTAGGAAAGCCGTACAACCTGCAACTCTCGAAGCAAGCCTCCGAACGCGATCACCCGTCCAATCCAGAATCCGGGTCATACCGTACTGACCCTTCAGGTACATCCCCGCGCATAAGAAGCGGCTGCAGGAGAAGGCATGGCTTCAGGGCTAAAACTCATGAAAATTAAGCACTTTTCGTTCATCTTGCTGTCGGATCAATGATTTGGAGATGAAGGTTTCAGAGCATCTGCGAAATCCCTACTTTTTCTGTACGGCTGGGCTACTACGCTCGCGTTGCAACTAGCCCTTGCAGTCTGGCTTTGTCGTGTAGCACACACTTGTTTGTGCGAAGTGACAACTTATTATCTCACCTAAACACCGAATCGGTCAGGGGATTGACTCACCGATTCAATTCGAACGACTGTATACTCCGTGGCCATTTTGGCGAAAGCTGTTACAGCTTGAGAAATTTCGTTTCACCCACCCGTCCCGACCCTCTTTTATACTGCGTAAATTTTTTTCCTCTGCTTCCTGTCTGCGAGAACCGCCTGGGAACCAGTCGGTCCTCCCAGCAGAAGGAACTTCGATACTTCCTGTTCGGAAGATCTACACCGATCTGTAACATCGACTACTTCGATCTGTAAGATCGAAGCGCAGACATAACGCCACCGAAGCGGAAGCAGGTGGAAAACAGCTCCGCTTCAGCCAGGGATTCATGGCACTTGTGTGAGATTTTCGTTGTCCTTGCCTTTTGTTTTGGTGTAGCTCGGCGCATACCGGTGTTGGTGGGATGCCCCTTCCCAACGACAATCCGGAAGACACGCTGTCACAAAGCTAAACCACACTTGGAAGCTCAAGCTTCGATTCAACTCACAGCAATGCAGAAGCCGCGCAGCAAACAGAGCGAAGTTCGAAGATGCTTTGTGCATTGCTCCAAGCTTGATCCCTTCTTCACGGCTCCAGATAACGACGCTTTGGGAGACGATCACGAAGCAGAAGCTGTCACAGAAGAAGACCTACCTGACCTTGGAGGCGGCTGTGTTTCTCAGTAGACATTAGGCCTTCCACGTGCTGTCGTGCGATTCATCAACCATGCTCCTCCACGACTACAAGTTGTCTTTGGGCCTAGACTGTGGAGAGCATCCCACATCGTATACTCATGAACTCCAAGCCCGGAGTATACTAGATTGAGCACGCCAGTCCTCAACTTCCTTAAAAGTGGTTGGGCCCGTTTCACGGCTTCGGGCTCAGGTTGAGCGAGATTTTGGGCTTGGCGCATGAAGCCTGCCAACGGATGTTGGGTCTTCAAGCAGCCGTGAGGTCTCAGCATCAGACCTGGACGACGGCGTTGACGTTGTCATCCCCACCGTCAAATTCCAGTTCAGGCTCCACGCGGCTTGTTTGACGAGCTGGATTCAAGGATATCGTTACAAGCTTCCGAAGGCATGCCTCAATCCATGCTCCGTGAAACTTGCAGATGGTTTCTTATCCAGGTCCAAGTCGAGGGCTGCATGTTCCCAGACCATACAGAATGGAGACTGATTGAAGCCTTCCGCAAGTACATGCGCTCAAGAGTCTAGGAGCTTATGAGCATATATACACTCAAAAATCGTCTCGAGTTTTAGGCGTGAGGAAGCCTGAATCTTCGTCCGGCAAGCCCCGGACCTGTGCTTGGGAGGTAAGAGACTTGCCCTGGTGCGACAAAGCTGAGAAGGCTAACTCGCTGAGCCCCGAAACCCAACCCGATGCCCCCCCTCAACAGCTGTGAAGCCGTTGAACCCGCAACCCCTCAAGCCTATTCAAGGGAGGTTCTACAGGATGATGTGGTCTGAAGTTTGGAATGTTTGGCTGCACGGGTTTGCACTTGAAGTGTTTTGATGGTTTTCTAGAACTTTGGGTGATGAAGCTTTTGGAATTAGGGTACGGGAGACAATGAAGGTTTCAGAATAGTCTCAAAAGTAGGTCGGAGAGTGTTCCAGTGTTTGGGGCATTCGGTCCAGGAGACAAACCCCAAGCCCCGACCCCAAGCCCCGAAGTCCTGGTCCCGATCCGTCAGAGTTTGATCCGTTCGCCATGGTTAAAGTCAGACTTTGCGGGATGCTGACTCGTGCAATTTGCAGGCAAGTGCGGGTCTGGGCATTGTGTTCAGAGCCCTCTAATATCTGGGCACTCATCAGACCATGAACCTAGGTTCTGCTTCAGTGTTGATCCAGAGGGTCCGGATCGGGTCTACCGTCCTCCTTATGGTTTTACCCGCTTGGGCTTCCTAGCATGCAGAAGATCGTGGTACCCGGAAGCCGGCGCATCAGACATCTACATTGGTCGATACATCGGTTGAGCATGTAGGATGGGTAGAATAATTCAAGGCTCTTTCCCAAAACCTGCTCTTGCCTGGTCAACCAAATTGCGATTCCGTGCGGATCTGCCGGCCATTTACGCTCCACAAGCGCCCAGCCGCTGGCAACTCGATAGTGTCCTGGCTGGTGCTGCATCCTTCGTTACATCTTAAGCGTCTCTGATTCTACCGCACCCCCAATTTCTCCAAGACCCGAACCAGCAACCAGCCAGGAATTGACAGGTTCGCATAAACTCCACCCGGCCGATCTGGGCTAGGAAAAAAAGTGTAACAAAAAGGTCCGCGGAGGTCCTCGGTTCTAGGAGTCTGAACCAGCAGCAAAGCGATCGATCGTACAGGGAATGTTGTGCTTTTGGCATGAGTCTTCGGGGTCTGCAGGTCCGTAGCTGGGATTTCGAGTTGTGAGCATACCGAAAGCTGAGCAAGTAAAATCCGCTCTACTGCTCTTGTCCGGGACCCTCGCATGCACTGTATTGAAGCCTCGAAATGCAAAATCCCTCAAGCCCAGAACCTGTAGGCTTCAGAGTCAAACCCCGAAAGTCAAGGATTGCGCGTTACATGACCGCAGCTGCGAATGAAGCGGGCCCTGCGGGGTTAGGCCGTTAGGCACGGGGAGGAACTCTCAATGACCTTCATAATATCAACTTCCCGACGTTCAGACCGTTCTCCCCGGCCCCCGGTCCCGAGCTGGCCCAAGCCCCAAATCGCTTGGCCCAAGACTCCGAAAAGCTAAGCACCCCGCCCCGAACCCTCCGAAATGTAAAAAAATGAAGCACCATAGTCAGGATCACAAAACTAATTTAACTTAGGGAAGCAAGCCTCGGGAGCATGCGTTGGCCGCAACTCTGCCGCACGCTCAGACATTCCACGCTTCAGCATTCCCCTGAAGCCTCCAGCAACATCCCGCCACCATCACCCGACCTCCCTTTCAGCAAGAGTTTGCCACTCCCGAACACTGCTGCCACAATAGGCTGCTTTTTGGCTGCGGTTGTTGATATAGCTAGCTTGTCCCTTTCGAAGAAGTATGGTGGGGCATCGATGGGCAGAAGCAATGACGATCAGCTCCGGCTTCATATTAGAGGGTGTCGGGGGGCCATACGGGCTTCGTCCATCAGATACCTCCACTCGTGGCGGGGGAGAGGGGGGCCCATCGATGATGGGCCCTTCACATATCCGAAAACTAGATTACAGAGGTTACATAGAGGGTTTAGAGTTTGGTGCATCGCCCCTCGCCTGTCAACTTCTAGGTTTTAGGGTTGATGGGGTGCGGCGGTCAGCCTTACATTATGCCAACCACCCGATCATCCGACCTGAGTCGCATCGATCCAACAATCTTTATCACACAAGGCCTTGGACTGGCATGCCTGGTCTTTGGAAGCCGCAGCCTCGAAGCCCTTTTCCTTGTACTGTATAGGCATTTACAGGATTGCAGCGACTTTGGATGTTTGGACTCGGGTGCATTGTCAAAGTCAGCTTTTGACGCACCGACAGTTTGTTGATTCGGATGTGGTTTTCAGGTTCTGGGGCGTTTAGATCGTGCTTTGGGATTCGGAGTCTTGGAGCCTTTTGATCGATGGACAGCTTTAGATGAACGGGATCGAGCTACTTACTGAGTGGTTCAGCCACACAGAAGGTCGCAGGCTTACGGCCAACTCGGATCAATCGAATCTGACATTCAGGAACTGCCATTCTGGCGCTTCAAGATTTGGTTGCCAGGCTTCGCCTGCAAATCAAAGCTTTCACTCACAGGGGCTCCAGCAACCTTGACGGTGTGGTTGTCTGAGAGTTTTCGTGCAGAATCTTCAATGGTTGTAGACAGGCTTTGAGAACCAATTGAGTGTAAAGTGCTTGATGCGGGGTTTTCAAGGCGAGAAAAGACCATGACTCAGGAAGCAAAGTGGAGATCTTTAAATAGGTTATGCCGGAGACCTGTTCGCCGCGTCTGGCTTCTGCATTATCATCATAGGCCCAAGTGTGTGTGTGGCCTCCTATCTCCCCTCACGTGCCAAGCACCGTCACACGCCGCAACTTTAGCGACGCCTACATCATATATCTGTGGCCAGCCGCAGCGTTAAGGCATAAGACCAGTGGCGGGCGTGGGTGATGACTTCGACGAGGCTGTGCAGAACTGAGGATGGAGAAGCCTGGGCTCGTCGGTTTAGGCAGGAAGTTTTCAGATCCCGGATTGCCAGCCAGAGGTACCATCAACCTACATAAGCCTTGTATCTTGGGCTCTCGGTTATGAACACACATGCGCAATGAACACTGGCCACGACATGACGTGATGTGTCGCGGCCAAAAATCCCAAAACTCTGCAAGCAAGCGCTCGGGAAGTGAATGTCGGGATCCAGCCGCTCAACCTTCCCAGCCACCAAGCAAACCGCGTCCTGGGCTTTTGCAAACGCCGAGGTGAGTTTGGAGCCGCATGTCCAGGTGCCCCGGCAGCACTCAAACTCTGAAGTGTCGCATCTTCTTTGCACAAATTTTCAAACACCTCAAAGACGGCTAGATCGAAGTCATTAGTCAACCTTGAAAGCAACTGAAGTAGTTGGTGCCATGGCTTCGCCGTGGCACTTGTCATCCCATGTCCACACCTTCTCGTTTGGGCTCTGGGGCACTCTATTCAGGGACGTCCTGAAGTCTCCGACAAGGGAGGAGAGCTGAAGAATGCCCCAACCAGCAAAATGCATGAATCTCTACCAGTTTCAGCTTTGTTTGGTGTTCCTTGAGTCAGGCCGTGCCCGCGCAAAGACAAGCCGCGCGGCCTGCTAGGACCGGGGCTTGGGGGTGCGGGGGGGGGGGGGATTGTTGTGCTGTCAGCTTCTCAGCGGTCATGTTTGGTGAAGTTCGACTTGGCTTTTCGGGTTTCCGACCCGACTACCTTCTCCGCAAGGAGGCACTTTGCCGAATTCGCGCCTCCGGCCGATCTTGCGGGAGTGCCCGTGGGCCAAGAAGACCTCGTCACTGCGCTGGAGGACGATCTTTGCTTGTGCTAAGTGCTCGACGTGCTCTACTACTTGACTTGTTTTGCGACCGTAGATTCCAGCAGAAAACCCAACCTTGAACCTGTATTTCCGCAACTCTCGCTCGCACGAGCTGCACTGCAGAAGCATCGAACTGCAGTGCGTGCTCGTTACATTGACTTGGGGTTCTGTGCTACGCTCCAACCACAGATTTCAAACTGTCCCAAGCAAAGCCCTGCGTGTGTCAAGGACCGTGCGAGGGCGCGCCACAGGCACAGTGGAAGCCTCATGTCCCAGCCCGCAGCTTACACCACCCGTCAGAGAATTGACGAAAAGCTTGTGTCCGGTCCAGAGGTCCACAGCCCTGAGCGCTGACCATCAACTTAGATCACACGCATTGGACATGTCTCTCCAAAGCTCTGAGGTTCATGAGGTCATTCGCTCAGAACATGAAGTACGCCGTTCTTCAAGACAGCAAGGGCGACATGCCAGAGGAGGACCGCGGGCTGGCGAGCTGTTAGATTGAACTCCGCGATCCAAAGCCTTGACATGTTTGGAGCCTAGGTCTCACTGTAAGGTGCTGGAGTAGACCGCCTTTCAAGCCATAGCTTGCAGTTGGAAGATCACTTTGGCCCACAGGAAAGGCAGCGGCAGATGCGAGCCATTGAGGCTGCAAAGGCGAACAGAGTCTTGAGGTGTTCACTTTCATGTAGAGACCAGCCGGGCCTGTGCTCAATACTTGGGGTAACCCGGTTTAGGAGTCTACGCACAGGCCAGCGATTCTGCAGAAGCTGTATCTCGAAGGGTGGTGACTCATGTTTCAGCGAACAACTCAAGAAAAGGAGACGGAAGGGTTCTACGGCTTCGAGTAAAGGCCCGACTTTGGAGAAGCATCGGGCACCACTCATCGTACACCCAGCCGGGACTTGGCCTGTTTGCTGTTGGCGTGCAGGGCCGAGTTCAACTCATCGTACGTTTGGTCTTAGGCAGGCGAAGGGCGGATCTTGAGTCCCTAAAGCCTCAATCCCAAGCGAGCTGCGGCAAACAATGAGAGTTTATATCCTTAACCCAGCCAGGCTCAGCAAGAGCAGCGAGGAGGGTCGGGTGTCGTGCTCAGTGCATCGCTGAGCCTCAAGCTCTACATTGAGGGTTGTTTGGTTGCGGGGTTCGGATTTTAGATCTCCATGTCAGGGGCTTGTGTTATTCGGGGGTCATGCTGCTGGGCATGCATTCTCCATAAAGCTGCACTACAATCCCTGAGCCAAAGTCCATGAATTCGAGATATCTTTTAACCCTTACCGTGTTGGCGGAGCGTATGTTTCCGCTCGCAGCAACATCTCATGTTCTTCCAGACGGCACAACCACAAGACCACAAGATCTGTTGCTCCCGAGCAGGTCGTAAGTTGGTTAGCAAAACCTGGACCTCCGCAATCCCGCAAAAAAAGGCTGGAGCGAGAGCCCCCGAGAGCCGACTCACGACTTGCCTCATCTTCAACGCTGGCCCAGGAGGTCGGGTGAAAGGCGTTTAAGTTTAGGTTGGTTCTCGGCCTACTGCTTTCAAATTTCAGAATCCCAGGGCCGATGGAACGCTCAATCCTCCAGAGTGTCGAATTCGGTTTAGTATTCCGTTCTCTGATAGATGCGGGATTCGGAGAGAACATGCCGAGGTGTGTTTTCAGGTTGTTCGGCTGTGTAAGCAGCACCCCAATAGGATTCCGAACCGTGCCTGTGCTGTTTCCATGTCTGTGAGAGGCAACCGGCGGCCCTGCAGGAGGCTAGTTGGCGCAGCTTCAGATCTTATCTTGAAGGGATTCAGCGTCGCCGACTTCAGTTCTGATTCTCGCCAATGTCGTGGTGTCTCTTCGGGGACATGCGGAGTGCAGGTCAGTTCTGCCCCCGCAGTCAAGGTGAATGCAACTGAATGAGCTGCCGGTTCCGCAGATTGTCTTGCCTGCTCGATGCAAACGTAACAGTGTTGCTTGTTGGTTTGCGGCCGGGCCCTGTTGCTGCAGTTGTTTCCACTTGTCCAGGGCTTCCGCACCATAACCCAAGTTTCCCAAAGAGCAGACACTTCACGACCATAAAACCTTAAAGCCAAGAACTTGACAGCCGAAATCGAGAGTCTTGACATAAATACCTATACCGAACACTGCCAAACACCTGTCGTGAGCTTGTGTTCCAAGAGGAGTCGAGCCTGCGACACCACAGACCCTCCCAGGCCTGTCCACTGGGTCCTGGGTGCCTAGGGGCTTGAGCATAGTCGGCGACAGTGATCAGCGTGCCAGCACTCTTCACTAGAACCTGCTGCTTGTGGCCTTCACGGCAAAGGTCGAGGGCGACATTGCACGGCGTTTGGAGCCATGTCGTGTCTGGAGTCCAACCGGGCGTTCAGTCTGTAGGGTCTTGGTTTTCATCGCTTGGGACTTTGCAGAAGTTCGAGCCTTCCCCGAAGAACAGGAGCCCAACAGGTTGAAGGTTCTTTTGTCACTGAAGCACAACACGGAATCTAAAGGCTTTGGTCGTACTCTGTCGCCGCGTGCTCAAAACTCAGAACTCCCGATGAGACTTGTTTCGCCGCAGGCGAGGCACAAGCAGGCTCCGGCACACAGTGACAAAAGCGGCCGAGAAGCACTTAGCATATCTTTTGAGGTGTGGAAGCCAGGGAGATGTGGTAGTAGCTTGCCAGGGCGCTTGCTCTTGAGAATCGGAGAAAGACACACCCAGCCTTCTCCAAAGCTATGCTGCCAAGCCCCAGTGCCCAGAGCCAGAAGGCCCCAGGCATCCGTGGAGTTCGCGTTCAGGGATTCGGGTTGCAAAGACGCCTTGCGCAAGGCGGAAACATTGGGATTTCGCTTTGATCTGCAAGTTGGGCCTGAGGGTGTCAAGGCCTTTGGGCTCCCTGATAACCCTCGAGATCTGTGTGTGTGGAGTGGACAGGGCTTCCTACATCGAGCCTATTACATGAAGCCTTCCATCAACCTGAAGCCTCAAGAACTGAAACCTGAGTTTGTGTACCTCCGAGCACATGAACGAAGGAGGTTGTCGTTTAAGGATTTGCTTGTCTTAACTGGCTGTTGGCTTCTCGGGATTTGATTTCTTGATTAGCCTAGGCCTAAACCCTAAACCCGTAAACCCTGAACGCCAAACTAGATCGACCCACGGAGTTGTGCATGCCAGCGGCGAGCGATACCACGTCATCCGCCCGCAGCGGATCCTAATTATTGCACAAACCACGAGCTCAAATCGCAGCAAGTAGAATCCCCAAAAGCACAAAATGCTCCTTTCACCCAAAACCCGACAAGGTTGAGATGGGGGTGCGCCGCCACGACCTTTTAGGTCGAGGCGCACCAGCTCTTGGAAAATCCTTCACACTAAACCCCTAATCTCTAAACCTTAAACCAACAGCTTCAAACCACAGACTCCAGAACAGAAAACAAACAACTAAGAACAAACCAAAAATCAACATCCACTAACAAGCTGAATTCGTTTATCAAGGTATGGCCTTTCGGTCTGCATCGCTGGCTGCAGTGATTGCAGTGCTCGCCAACTTCCTGAGCTGAAACAGCTGAGAGCTCTGCGTAGCAAACGAAGTTCATCCTTGTCAGATCATAGACTATGTCCATAAAGCGCGATATCCACGGTCAGACTGGAATTCAGGATACCACTCCAACCCCGCAACGACTCCTGGCCCTAGACCGACAGGCAGCGGGACAATGCTCCAGTGGTGCACAGTTGGAGAAAAAACAGCCGTCACACAAGTCGTCTCCGAACTCCTAGGAAAAACTCTGCCCCCCTCTTTCCTGCCTGTCACATACCCGTGAACACCTCTGAAAGCTGGAGTACTCTCTATGCTGAACTTGCTTTCTGCAACCCATGGAATCTTGCAGCTGACGGCAGTGGCCTAGAAGAGGAGTTGCCCTTTCAAAAGCGAACCGGGCAGTTCGACTTCCTTTTTGAGGGCTCAAGGCTCTGCCCCAAACTGCACGAAAGTCTAGGATCTTGCGAGATGCAAGCAACTTGAAGTCGTGTAGAAGCCATCGTGTAGACATCAGACACTGTGCATCAGCTAGGTGCGGTCGTGTTCGCACCAACCAAGCCATCGGACATCAAGCCCGGCAACAAGCACTTGTATCTAAGTTGGATGGCAAGATGCAACTATTTGGACGCCGTAAAATTACCTCAAGATGATGAGTTGGTCGCCCAAGACTCTGATATGAGATGATATGTGCCGCATGACGAATGCTACAAGTTCTGCACATCTGCCGACGTCGCAGCCTCAGACGCATCGGCGTTCACTGCATTGTTGCCTTCTCTCGGGAAGTTGTCCTGGGCACCCAAAGCCGGTAAAACCGCAGTGCCCATCCCCTGCGGTCAGGTGCGGCCAAAGTGATGTGCGGGACCTCCTCGCCAGCTGCGAGGTTGACATTTCCCTGTTGCCTGACAGCATCTGAAGGCGAATGGATTCTCACCGGAAGTTCAAGTTTCCAGCGGTATCTCGCAATCCAGCATTGGGGCACAAAACATCCTCGAGCACGAAACGAAACACCGGCTGAAAAGAATTCCCGAAAGTCTCGGATCATCATCGTGATGCGTGATGTTGAGGACTTTCACAGGCTTCAAACAGCCTTGTCCAACAGAGTAACAGGCAGTTGCTGTCCCTGGTCGGCCTGTAGGTTTGCCGCTTGCCGGACCACCCTATTGGTCCATTGGTGTCAGGCGTAGTGAGCCTCCTCGACTCAAGCGCGAAAGCCACACGGATCAAGACCTGGCAGATTCTGGAATTTAGCAAAACAGCTGGAAAGCTGCATCGAAAATGCACGGAATGTGAAGGGAGCACGATTTGGAGTCGCAACGGCAATGCTTGAGGGACTTGGTGAGAAGCAGAGTCGCACCCAAAATACGTGCGGCACCGTGATGCGAGCAAGATCTAGAGTTTCGGATAGTTTCAAGACCTCTTATGGCCAAAGAGCTGAAGAGACTTTGGACTTTGGTGGGAGCGTGCTTCGTCGAATACGGAGTTTCCAAGTAGAGAAATTTACAGTGAATGTGGCTGGTGTAGGATTCTGGCGAGAATGTTTCTTCGGTTGAAAAATATACACCGCTCTACAGCAGGAAAGCTGTCGGGAGAGGTGTCTGCTCTTTTCACACCTAGTTGCCGTCTCGTAAGAACCTTGAGGAAAGGCTGACACCAGCAGCCCTTGCTGAGCCAGGCAACAGGATGCCCATATCCCATGCACGACGCAAGCCATTCCTCAAGCTATTTGGTCTGGTATCCCGCGAAGCGTCCATCGCGTCCGACGCCATGCTGCCTCAGGGCCGCTCTCGTCTCGATTATGGTCGTGCTGATCCCAATTTGGTGCACTACCAGACGGTACGAAGCTTTGTCGGAATCCAGAACCGAGTTGTGCAGCAGATGACCAAAGTGCCCATAGTGTCGGGCCCAGGCGATAAGAAATCGGCAGACAAAGAAGCATGTCACGATCCGGAAGAAGCCTGTGACGAGGACAAGTTCGGTGACGAGAACAAAGGCCCCACAGAGTCTGAGTGTTGGAAGCCTCTGTTGCCCTTGGCGCTGAGTGTCTCGACGATTCTGGGCGGGATGACAGTAGCTTTGGTGCATGTTCCCCTACTGACCGAGCTGACCGCATGGCCCTGGACTGTTTTCTTTGCGATTGTCCTCGCTATCTATGGCCCAACCTTGCTTTGCATGCTGTGGGTGGCCAGAGCTGACCCTGGCCAGATCACCATTGAGGACGGCGAGCCCCCAAAGCGTGCCCACAAGTCCTGGTTGTACCCGGAGCCCATTCGACGCTACGACCACTACTGCAGGTGGCTCCAGAACGTCGTTGGCCTTATGAATCACCGCGAGTTTATGGCGATGCTGATTGGCTTAACACTGATTGCAATGCTGGGCGTCGTCATCGACCCTGCCCTTGCAGTCTTGACCTACAACAAGTCCGGGGTCCAGATCGTGCCGGATATCATCCTGGTGTTGCATTGGATATATTCCCTGATTTTGTTGTTCTTCGAAGGGGAAATCTTCATCATCCACGTCGGACTTGTCTCGAGGAACGAGACAGCGCAGGAATGGAAGCAGAACAAGCACTACGTGGCAGACGATACCTCAAAAGGGGACAACATCCGTGTGGAGAGCTTGTCAGACTCGGACGAGTACAACGAGCTATTGGACCAGGGAGCCTTCGTCTACTCGCCAGAGGCAAACTCGTTTGACAAAGGTTGCGCAGTGAATTGTCTGAACTTCTGGTGTCAGCCTCGATGGGACAGCCAAGCAAAGGGGGATTTCTGAGACTCCGATTTGCGCATCCAGCAGCTTTCGTATGGACATCTCCGTTACTTTCAGATGCTGCAAGAGACAAAGCATGCAGAAATTCGTGAAGGACAAGCGAATCTCTAGATCGTGAGCGGGAAAAATCCTATGCAGTGCGCAGGAATTCTCAGAAGCAAAGATCGATGAGTTTCTTGAGATGGAGTGGTCTTTCATCGTGTGGGAGTGTTGCCTCAGTCATGTCAGGTTGGATTCAAGAATCCAAAGAGGTATGTGTTGCCGCAAGAAAGCTCAACAAGCATCCAGACCTAAACGTGGCCTCTGCGTTAGATATCGACCCAGACGACGAGCGCTTTAATCCATAGTCGAAATTAGCATGGCAGGCTAGGGAAATCTGTGGGCCTGTGTGACTGGCGTGGCGTGATTCCCCCTTCGCCAGCCTGGCTTCCGTTTTGTAGCTCTAGGCTCCGGTTGACGACACAAGTCTTCTCCTGCGAACTGGCAGCGAGGCTTCAGAGGCATGCTGCCCACGATGCCGCAATTTCTGAGAAGCTGGCTGCTTGTGCAGCAAGAAGGCAGCGTATGCTGAATCAACGGAGACTCTCCTCTAGCTAGTACCCATTACTTGGGATAGCTATCCTGTAAGGTCTCTGTAGAGAACAGGCACACACATGGATACGATGCCAGAGCAGACTGGGGGTAGCTGGTGCAAGCGCAAGCGAAACAATGAGCTCAAAGTTGCGTTCAGGATCGCTGTCATGCAAAATCGCAAATACTGCAAAACTAGACATCGTTTCAGCTAACCCTCCTGTGGCAAATTGCGGTGCAAGAGAAATTCACCATACAGGCACATATCAGGCGAGAGCAATAGCAGGCTTCCGGCTGGTCATCTGAAGGTCAGGTTCGATAAGTGCTTGAAGAGGTTTCCTGTGATAAACTCTGTTTGGCTCTAAGCCCTTCGTCTCGGATTGGCTCTGGCTCTGATCCTTCCCAGTTAAGGCAGCCGAATAATGTATTGAACAGGCAGTACACACGGCAACTGCTTCTGAAGCAGAAGCTCGCCAAGCTGCTGCAAAAACAAGCTGGGTTGATGTTTTGCCAGAGGCACCAATGTGATCATACGAACTGGTGCATACAACTGCTAGCGTCGCCATCAGAAGCAACTGTAAAGGTTGCTCGGGTCGCTTGGGATTCAGCGTATTGGGTCCAGGACTTCGAGCCTCCTGGTCCTTGTGAAGCAGCCCTAATAGTCTCGTCCTCAACACCCTCAGCCCCAAAGAAGGCCGAGTTCCTGCAAGAGCGTGCTGAGCAGAGCGCAAACAGCCTGGAGGCTTGATTCGTGGATTGATGGCTTCGCGTCTTTCAGTAGATCTTGGGATTCAGGGGCAGATTCCAGACTGCCAGGTTTGTTGATGATTACTGGTTTCGTGTTTTGAATGCCAGTATCGTGCGCGTACAGCGTAGGACGTTGTTGCATCGAGGCATTCACCTGCAGGCTTTCATGGGAGCTTCTCAGGTGGCCTTCGCAAGCTTTCAGAGATCTATCTTCAAGCAATTCGCGCAACACCACAATCAGCACCCCTGTGAATACACGTTGTGTTCTTCCATCCAGTTGCCTCGCGCTCTTTTGGACAAGATTGACGTAAACCGGAACCTTTTTGGCAATGCTTCCGGTTGTGGAGCAGAGTCTGCTTGACGCTTTGCTTTGACCCTCTTTACATGTGGAAATGACCCATGGTTCGCTAGCCGCTAGCAGAGGCCTTTCTGCAAATGGCCGAACTATAATAACTAATTCCATCCATCAGGGCCGTTCAGCCTTTCGTGCGTGCTGTGTCATGGTACTTCAAGAACACAAGCAGCTTTGTTTGACAAGACAGGAGGAACTCGAGCGGGACGGTGACATTCTGGCCGCTCGCTCGGATGTTTATGCAAGCTTTCAGATCCATGTGACTTGGGCTGTCAGGGGTTATGCCTAGGCGTCTTCAAAAGTGTCCCTTTGCCTGGGACAGCCGCAGTGAAGCCCCAACGTCGGACATGTCGGACTAGAAGAGCAAATACTTGCACCCTGCTCGTGCCAGCACAGAAGTGAAGAACCGCCAACGGCGAAACCTTCAGCAATCCTCTGAGGAGAGTAAGCTCGGTAAGCATTGGATCCCCAGCAAAGCTAGAAGTTTGTAGAGATTGGGGAAAGAACCCTTCAATCGCACCAAATCCGAACTGTGTCCCGTGCAATGCCCGGCAATAGTCAGAGCGACACAGTCTGCAATAGCCGAAAGCTGCCGAGCATCTCAAATTGTGCTGAGTCCTGCTGGCAGCTGCTGGGCTGTGGGGTCGGCTTAACAAGCCGCTCGGTCGAGAAAGTTTCAGCGCTTTTTTCAGAGCCTAGGCATGCAAGGTAGGCGGTCAGTCGGCCAGCTTCCTGGGCTCGCTGGGCTCGTGCCTGGGGACCTAGGGTTTCGAGGAGACCAATCGATTGCGCTTTGTGCTTTTCAGTCTTCTCACCGGGAGCCGAAAACGACGCCTGCAGATCAATACTCTCAGCAGGAGAGTGGCTTCGCACTTTGCCTGTCTTCTTGTACTGGCTCCTCTGAAGAAACGCAACCCCAATGCCCGAACGCCCGAGTACGTAAACACCTCATGCGTCGATCTTCCTGAGAGGAGGTGTTCGATTTCCGAAAACATTCTGCAACCTCTGTAAACTTTAACATGTCATCATGTTTGTTATCCTTCCATTATGCTTCAATCTTTTAGTCGTCGTCGTCGCTCATGATAGTAGTTCTAGCAGTGCAGTAATCGTGGTCGTTGGAACTAGTACAGTAGCAAGCAGTGAGAAGTCGTTTTAGTACTGCCGTCAGTACTAGCAGTAGCCGTGAGTAGTCACAAGTAGTCGAAGTAGAAACAAGAAGAAACGAAAAGGCTTAGAAGTAGGTAGAAGTACGAAGTAGCAAGCATTGGTAGATGGTACTTCACAGGAAAAGCTGGTGGTAAGCAGTGATAAGTAGTACTAATCAGTCGCCGGCTGAGTAAGTAGGAATGTAGTGAGCAGTAAGTAGGAGTAAGTAGTCAGTAAGATAATGTAGAACATTAGCACGCCGTCGTCGCTGTAGTAGTAGGAGGAGGTAGGTAGTAGTGTGTAGTAGTAGTTGTTGCAACAGCAGTGGCAGGGGCAGGGGCAGTGGCAGTAGCGGAGTGGGCGTGCCACTGGCAGTGGGAGGCGGAGTGGCAGCAGCAGCAGCAGCAGCCGGTGGAGGAGCAGTACGACGACGACTACCTTTCACATTGTAAACATTCACGGCATTATCGCCTTTGCATTTTTGAAGATTATCATTATCTCACTTGCTGGTTTCGAGCCCTCCACCAACCTCCTGGACCGTGGAGGCCCAGACCAGCGGAAATCTACGGATGGATACCGGCCACAGGACGTTTGTGAGTAGTTGCGCCTGTAAGCATGTATGTATGTATGTATGTATGTATGTATGTATCTATATATGTAAGTATGTACGTGTGTATGTCTGCATGTATGTACGTACATATGTATGCATGTACATACGTATGTATGCACGTAAGTATGTATGTCTGCATTCGTAGACACATGTATGCATGTCTGGAGAGAGAGAGAGAGAGAGAGAGAGAGAGAGAGAGAGAGAGAGAGAGAGAGAGAGAGAGAGAGAGAGAGAGAGAGAGAGAGAGAGAGAGAGAGAGAGAGAGACAGAGAGAGAGAGAGAGAGAGAGAAAGAGAGAGAGACTCAAGTGCCACACCTTGTACTTGGGGGTCTGTTCGCCCTCTTGTGCCGGCGGGAGAGGCAAGGCGTTGCCCTGGGCTGTACACCCAGGGGAGCTGTCTTCGCCTTTCCCAGTGGTGCTTGAGTCCTCCGCCCGCTGCCGTTTGATCAAGTGGCCCTGTTGCCGCGCGCCTTCTCCTGAACCTGACCGCGGCCCCTTTCGAGGGTGGCCCGCCAGTAGGGGGACGGAGCATACTTCGACCTTGTGGAACACGGGGAGATCTAGCCGTTCTACCACATCACGATCCATGGCAAGTTCCTCGAGCACCAAAGTGGAGGGGAAGGCAAGCCCCAAGAGAGGGGGAAGAAGGCCCATAACAAGGGAGCCGACGGCAAAACCACTCAAGACCAAGACGACGTGGCAGGAGCAATGTGTGCTCGCGGAACGGCTGAAAGCCATGGGGGTTACCTGCCGGGCATGTCTTGAGGGGCCCTTCTACCACAAGAGCCACGAAGCAGACAGCACCTGCTACAGACAACGTGTGGCTGCTGGGGGGATTGCCAGTACGGCGGCACCCCCCAGCATCAGGAAGCAGGGGACGCTGGAAGACGAGTTCGACCTCCACCAGCCCCAGGGGGACTTGCAGGGTGGCGGGGGCGAAAAGACCCTACTCTGACTACGTCCGCTTCGAGACCGAGCAAGGCATAGCACTACTTTACGAGCCAGACCCACTGGACCGATGGATTGGGAAGTGCATGCGAAAAAACTGGAAAGGACCAAGCAAGGGGAGGTACACCGACCTGAACACCGGGGGGATCCTCGAAGAAGCCGATGCCCAGGAATGGGAACAATATGTGCACAGGCACAACATGAGGCGAGCCACGGGGAGGCAAGCCGACAAGCTTGTGGCCATCGTGAAGGAGGGGAACCCAAAAATAGTCCAGGAGCTCCTCCTCTACATCGCCAAACACCCATGGAAGGTGGGGGCGTTGCTCAGCCAGGCAAAGCAAGTTTTCAAACACCAGGGTGCGCCACCTATGGAGGGGACAAAGCGCGACCGACCGACCGAGAAGGAGGGGGAGAAGAAGAAGAAGGCGAAGCACAAGGACGTCAAGAAACACAAGAAGGACAAGAACGAGGAAAAGGCATGGGAGAAAAGGCGGCACAAGAAAGAGAAGCACCAGCCAGAGCGTGAGAAAAAGGCGGGGGGACGTTCGCCATACAGTGGCCCAGCAAGCTCCGCCGCGGATGCCACGACGCCGGCAAGCTCTAGCCACGAGGGGAAAGTGACCAGGTCCGAAGGCAAGAGAGCACAGCCACCAGTACCACAACATGGCCCACGACAAAGTGGGGGAGACCGGCGAAAGCTCAAACTCGTGCCGGGGCCGATGTGGCGTGCAGTCCAGAAGATACAGGCACACATGCGGGGTGAGCACTGACCAGATACGGAATGAGCGTGGCAAAAAGTTTTCCTCGACCGAGTGATGCCTAGTGAGGGGAAGTGATCGTGCAGTGTGGTCTGTTTTGTTTGTTTCGGCTTTGTTTGCAGATGCCCCTCAAGCACCACCTGACGTTTTAGGATCTTTTTGAAATCCTTAATTCGTGACGGGCCGCAGAGCCATTCAAACCAGTTGCCAACGGGGCTGTTAGCCCCACACCTGCCTGCACCTTGCACCAATTGGCATAAAGACAGAGTCCCGCCGCTTTTCGCTAAAACTTTCAATAGGAACCCAAATAGGAGCTTTTCTCGCAGCGGGGGAGCCAGCCCATACTGTGATGTGATACTCACTGTGTCTGTTGTTCGGTCCTCAGAGTGTTGGGATGTTTTGGGGGGTGGCCACCGTTTGCTGAACCAAGTGAGGGGAACTTGCCTGTCGCAGGGACTTAGGACTCGGCCTTAGAGGGCGCGGCGATGAGGCCGGGACGCGGGATAAAGTACAGGGTTTGGGGAGGTTCCCTGCCAGGCAAACTCCACCACTCACACAAACCACTGGTTTTTTTACTTCCGACCACTGACCCCACCAGCCCTCTCTACCACCAACGAAGTGGGGAGAGGGGGGCCCAGGGGCCGGGTCCGCTTGCGGACTCATCCCTCGCGGCCGAAGCCGAAGCCGAAGAGAGAGAGAGAGAGAGAAAGTGAGTGAGTGAGTGAGTGAGTGAGGTGAGGTGAGGTGAGGTGAGGTGAGGTGAGGTGAGGTGAGGTGAGTGAGTGAGTGAGAGTGAGTGAGTGAGTGTTGGATGGGGTCGCGCTGACGCGCGGGTCGCAAGGACTACTGCTTGCGACCCACACCCCGGAGCAAAGCAAAGCAAAGAGGGAGAGAGCCATTTTGGCTCAAGTCGACTGCCGCTTCCCCGTTGGGGGGCGCCGAGGGGCGGCCCTCTCTCGATGGCAGAGGGTGATCTCTGCCTTCGGGGAGGGTGGACGTTTCGCGAGGTGGGGTCAGCTTTTGAGGCCATTCGTTGCAGCCCATTTTAAATGGGATTGCCCGAGGGGTGACTTGACTTAATCCTCGGATCCCTGACTCGGGCCCTTGCTCTCCCCTCTTGGGGGGGAGGGAGGTGGCCACGCAGTAGGGGGGAAGCGCATGCTACCAGCTAAAGGATCACGAGGGCAAGACGTCGACCATCAAGGACATTCTCGACGAGGGGGCGCGGGAGCCCATCAACAGGGGAACCCGTCCCATGGTGCCGTGTCAGTGAATCCGATGCAGCAATCAGAGGGAGGCCTGAGACCTTAGAGGGGTGGCCACCGCCGGCTAAAAAGACGTGAGCTGCAGTGAAAATCTGAGTTTTACCGTGACGCCTTAGCCTTGCAGAGACCGCTGTACCTAGGGGAAGGGCGAGGGCGAGGGAGTGATGTTTTTTGGGAGTTTGACGTTTGATGCTGGGTTATGGGAGCAGTTGCCTAAGCCCCTCCCCACTGAAGTTAGGCACCCGTACACCTCTGACCAAAACGGTCGCAATCCATGAACGCATGCGGGGAAGCAGGCCAAAAGCTAGGAAGCCTTCTCAATCCTTGGCCCAAATGGCCAAACGTTTCCAGTCCTTCGGCAAAGCCGACACATGTGCCATCTGAAGGGGGACACGACATTTAATTGGGGGGAGTCGCTTTCAGTTGGGGACTTTTACAGCGCGGCAGAGGATGTCCTGGCTTAAAAGCCAGGGTGCATGTGTTTGTGTTGCGACCTCCCCGGCTGCTTTCACTTCGGGGCTGCCGGGCGCCAAGCTCGAGACAGGAGGCCTGACACTGGCATGAGGGAGGGTGGTAGCCTTAACCGTCGAGGCGGGTTGGGGGTCCTAGTGTAGGGGTTTGCGGTGGGAAAGCCAGTGAGTCGGGTCACAAGAAGTCTCGGTCTTTCGTTTGCACCTCTAATCCCCCAGCGCGCGAAATCGCGCAAGGAGGCTTCGCGAGCGCGTTGTCCCTCTGTTTGTGCTGAAGATGAAGAAGAAGAAGACAGAGAGAGAGAGAGAGAGTGAGAGAGTGAGAGATGGAGAAACATGCGTTTGAGCATTACGCGCTTACGCATTCCAATATGCGCAATCCTCAACCACACACAACGATTTCTTTAAGCATAGCTTCAACCTTCACTTGTCCGAACACTACATAAACTCGCGCTGGTTTCCCCCAGCAAGTTGCTATCGTTGCCTGTACGGGTTACGCCAATCAGTACAGTTCTCTTCCAAAGAGGCGAGGACCGACTGTGCACACCATTTGGGCCAACTTCACGCACAGACTTTCAGACAGCTCCCCGCGTGCTTTGGACAGATGCAATATGCTACGTGCTATAGACTTTGTATAGGTTCTTTCTACAGAGTCTTTGATTTGTGTGTGTGTGTGTCTCATGCCTCATTGGTTCTTTGTATGCATGATATGAATGCTTATAAAAGCAGTCATGCACATCTGCCTACATGCTGATGTGCCGGTTGATCTTGAGTAGGGGCGAGTGAGGTTTTGGCATCGGAGTCCAAAAACTTCATGGCTGCACGAGAAATCGAGTTTTTTGCGTCTTAGTACTTCGAGGCTTCGTGTCTAGGTGTAGCCGACAGCTTCGGTCCGTCGAAGACTCTCTTTCGAAATCAGACTGCCCATCCCTCATTGCGAACTCGTTGTTTCATGTTCGGCAGACAGGCTTGTTTTTCTTTATTGCATCCTCAGGCCGTTAGCTCGAGAACCTCAGAGCCTTCAGATCCTCAGAAGTCAAAAACCCAGACCTTCAAACACATCCTCGCTGTTGATAGTCAGAGTATTCCTGCTCGTCGCAGTATTTCGTGTTATTTTCATTTTCGGCGATGCACCTATATCGTCCCCAAGAAGTGATTCAACCTTTTTCTCGCAACGCGGAAGGCATGACACGAACCTTGCATTCCCGCATGCCCTGCCCATATGCATTGGCAAGGAGCGAGGTGCTATGCTTCTCGCTGCGGAGAAGCTGATACCAGCAGCTTGGCTCGTGTTCCTTTCAAGAGAGCCACATGGATTTTGGCGCCGTGGGTTCGGCAGCGCCCAGCACGCGAGCCCGACCTTGCGGAAAGCGCTCCACTCCACATCATGTGAAGAACCACAACCATGATGCCCAGCAAAAGTGACGAGACTGTTGCGAAGGAGAGTGTCCAGGGCCTGACTTGTGGGGTAGATCCATATGCAACGAGTCTGGCGAAGTGAGGAGGTCTGCCGCAGTTCCGGAAGGCTCAGGCTGCAGGATTCAGGGCGCCCGGTCCACACCATTTCACACCAAGATTGTCCCGCCACAAGAACTGAATGGCAAAATAGAGAACTTGGACTCTCCGACCACAGTCCTAAAACCCTTCAGACCCACTTTGAAGCCAGAAGTCAAGTGCTCTAAACCCATCAAACCTGGAGGCCCTTGTTGAGGACAACACTGTGTTGGAGGGCAACTTGCGCGACTTCCTCGGTTCTCGAGGGCTCGGGTTGAGGATGATGGAGGGCTTTTGGCTGCCTGGCCTCTTGATATCCAGGTTTCTCATCGAATGGGTGTACACTTGACCGGGGTGCAACGAGCACTAGCTGTTTTTTCACTACCCGGCATGGTGTCCGCGGTCTATTGCGATGCCGTGATCCCAAGAATGGACCGTCTTGGTCTGCCGCATTCTGGAGAAAGCAGAGCTCCGAGTGGAATCCATTCAAGACCCCAGTTGTCGGCTACGAATCTGCTCTTGAGACAGCGTATTTCGAGGTGACTACAAACTCGCCTTGGGCAGCGCTGTGAAAGAGCTGTACCGCACGATCCCCAGATAGTGGCAGCATGCGGATAAATCTGCATAAGAGACTTACCCCACCCAAGCACGTGCCACGTGAAGGAGGACTAGCATCGAAAGCTTCGGCAGCATTGGGCGATCACCCAAAGTGCGAAACGTTGGCATTCCTATTCAAATCAACAAGACCCGTGCAGCAAACTACTTGTGCAAGTAACCATCATAACCGAAGTGCGCTATCCGGTAGCGAGCCGCCCTATGGCATCCAACCAGCCCCACACGCTTGCGATGTCGCGTTTTCGAAGGGGTCTCAGGAATCTGACATTCGTCGGAGGATTGCTAGACGTGCTGCCGAATCCACTTTGTCTTAGTCTTAGACCTCTGTTCCCGCACACGAGGCATTCGCGGCGAGGTGGCAGAATGCCAGAGTCTGCTCGGCACCAAGTGGGTTCAGACTTAGACGGGAGGAGTACTTTATGGAAACTCGGATGGATCTCTTGCTGGTGATAGCAGAATGAAGTATTCATATTGCAGTAGAGTTGTTTGTCCCTTAGTCGCAGCCGGGTGAACACCGTTACATGTAACCACGAGCCCGGGCTAGTGAAGCGGGGAGCTCGCTTCCGCAAACCCCCTCAGTCCTCAGTCATATAAATTCAGAAGCTTGAAGACCGAAACCTCCGGGCCCTTCTGGAACTGCAGCGAAGATTTGCGGGTACCCTGAAAAACCAGGCTACAGGAGGCATCCTCCTACAAGCTACTGCTTCGACAGGAGCACCAGGCTCTTGCTGAACCTCCTTGGGTTTTGTCGCAGTCAAGATAAATCGGAGGAGGATTCCTTCTCGGGCTAGAGTGAAGGCTTTGTGCAATGGATTGACTTCATGTGGCCTTTGCCTGGAAGCTCTCCGAAAGCCCAGCTTGCATACAACTCCACCGAATATCTGAGGCCCAAACTGGGCCCAAACCACTCAGGCATATGCGGCGTATGCAAGCTGCAAACTGGTAGTGCTGTTTTCTCAGGGTTTGCGGTGGTGTTTCCCGCAGGTGTGGGCTCGGGGGCCTTTGAGTTTCGCGGGCTCAGGATCTGGAAAGTTCAGCTAGACCATGTAAATCTTGAGCCTCAAACCTGCCCAACAGTCCTCATGGCCCTCATGTTCTGAAGTCGCACGCTTGCCGGAGCCGGAATGAAGCCCACATCCCGACCTTTCCCAAGCATTGCTCGGCGGAGGCCCAGCAGCATCTGCTGGAGGAGCAGCTTCGGTTGGATGAGAGGCCACGCCCCGCGCACAGCGAACACCCTGACATACCGTTCGCATGAGTGGGAAAGCCCCGAAGGCATGACCAACTCCTCTCTTTGCTCCAAGCGGCCTCCAGCGCGCAGGCCTTCCAGTCTTTTTCAAAGGGCACGTCGCTCTTTGTTTTTTATTGGGGACGTCGGTTCAACAATGTCGGCGCTTGAGGCAAAAGGAGCTCTTCCGAAGGTTTAGCGCTGCACCATCCTCGGCTCACAAGTCTCGACAAGTCGTATAGACTCAGACCTTTAAGCACCCATTATCACTGCGGAGAAGCAGCCACAGCCACAGTCAGGCGGAAGGGCAGAGGAAAGAGCGCAGAAGCAGAACAGTCATGGGCATGGCTCTAGACTTCGGGCGACATCCTAAGTCGCAGACCAGTTTGAATGCAGACTCTGAGGGACAATCCTGGCTACGGGCTTCTCGGCTTGATGCGAACATCGGAATAACATGTGGCTAACTATGAGGTTACCGCCCCAATGTCGGGAGGGAGATCAGTCAGGTGGTGGGGAGAGAGAGAGAGAGAGTGTGTGTGTGTGTGTGAGAGAGTGAGTGAGTGAGTGAGTGAGAGTGAGAGAGAGAGAGAGAGAGAGAGAGATATATATATATATATATATGTAGAGAGAGAGAGAGAGAGATAGATAGATAGATAGATAGATAGATAGATAGAGATGGAGAGAGAGGGAGATATCGTAGACTCGTGTATTCTTTTCCTTGTCATAGCATATACGACACCACCAACCCACCTGCTTGGCCATTAGAGAACATTGCAGGATGACGAACGAGGGGATTCTTTGCTGGTGGCCTTGGCCCGTGAGAACAGCTGCCCGGCTACATTTGATCTTCCTGGATCACGGAATACTGCCTCAAGGCTAAAAGCAGCAGCAAACTATTTGCCACCACGGGTTGTTGTGTGGAGCTTGGCATTGGCGATGCCCTCACTCTGAACTAATGCTGTCTTCTTTGCGGTCGATACAACTGTTCGGTGCCCCCTCCGTCGGGCGAATTGCTAACCAGGACATAGTTGCCCTCCCACCAAGAAGGACAACAAAAACGAACCTCAGAACGCTAGCTCTAGCATAGTTCGTCATGTGCGACATTGCCATGTATCTAAATCCAGCAGTGGAGATCAAGGCAGAAAAGGACAAGCGTCTCTGGATTGACAGACTGATCCTGTCGCACTTTAGCAAACAATGCGCCTGGCTAGCAAACTAGTGCTGGTTCCTTGGCAGATACAATCAATAAAGTGGCGTAGGCCGAATTGCAAACCAATGCAGTTACTTTGAAGATACTTCTCACAATAGAAGCACTTCCTGTGAACAGGGTAGTGAGGGTGAACGACAATTAAAGCGGACCCTGCAGTAGCATGACGTGCACGGATCGCAGCTTACGCCAAGCAAGCTTCGCACCTCGGTTCGTGTGGCCACTACATGCCGGAGCCTTCCAGTTTCTGAAATTTACTCTTCTTTGTACCGGCATGAAGTGTCTATGATGCTCGCATACTAGGAGTTCAGCATAGTTTGACACCGTTTTCATGAAGTTGCGCCAAACAAAGCCAAGAATAAATGTTTTCCAGGTCTCCTGCGAGCCCGCCTTTTCCCTGGCGAGAGCGATACGCTGCCCTCGCCACGTCGAGCGTTGCTCGGCTGCTTTGAGGACTGTCGATGGCGCCGGCACCGGAACAGTTACAGCGGTTTCGGGATGCCTTTGCCGATCATCGTCAATCAGTGTATCGGTGGCCAAATCGCAAAGCGTCAGCCCAAGGGTCTCATCACCCGTCAATGCCTAGCAACAACCATTGAGATTAAGAGCTCCTGGGTCAAAGTTGCTTTCATGACGATGCGGGGTCGAACATCATGTTGGACCATGAACTCCAAGTTCGGGCTGTGCGACGAAGGCTCCAGCTGGCTTCGTTTGTGTGTGTGTGTGTGTGTGTTTGTTTGTTTGTTTGTTTGTTTGTTTGCTTGCTTGCTTGCTTGTTTGTTTTGGGTGGCCCCATGCGCATGAGCACGGGGGTATTGGGGGTGCATGGGGGTGCGTGGGGGTGCATGGGGGTGCGTGGGGGTGGAATGGTGGTGGGTGGTGGTGGAAGTGGAAGTCGAAGCGGAAGCGGAAGTGGGGGTGGGTGGGGTCTGCTTAAGTTGAGTCATGTTGAGTCTAGTTTAATGAAGCTATCTTGTAGCTTGAAGTCCGGCCAACAGCACATGCCAGAAACACCAGTGGCACTTTTCACCTACAGAGAGGCAGGCACACAGACAGACCAAGGCGAGGCACTGATCAGCCGGTGCAGTATTCCGAAGCTACCTTCAGTGCTTCGCATTGCTCAGTGGCTTGCGAAACCACAGCACCTCGCTGATCCCTCGAAGAGTGAGTAAGAATGTTCTCTTTGTCGACAGTGCTTTATTTATGTGTTAAGAGCCCTTCCGATGCCGACTACTTCGGATCTATGAGTTGGGTTTTGACGGATTCAGCATTTTGCCGTTAGGGAAACATGTCCACGGACCCTGTCTGCAACGTATGATGGACGTGAAACACACCGGACACCCTCAAGCCCATAAAACCCAAATCAAGCCCACGTAGCCTGGGTAGACACGTCCGCATTCAAGAGGAAGCGCCAAAGCCCATGTTCCTGACCTTTTTGAGGCTGAGCTCCAGCAGGGCCAGCCGATCCTCTGAGGCGTAGTTTGGATGGGGGGTGGGGCGGTGGGGGGGGGAAGGGGGGGTGAACCGTTTAGCAAGACAGTGGCAGATGCAGGCTGCAGTCCACGGTTGCTGGCATGACGTCAGCTCTGTTTGGTTGTCGTATGTGCCTCGAGACGACTCCGAGGATTTGCAAGGCTAAACCAGGTGGAGCTGAGAAAGGGCAGCGGTAGGGCTTGCCTGGGCGGCGGTTAAGAATTCAAACGGAGCCGCGAGGATCCACGTCCTTCTTCCACGGCCTCCAGTCCCCAGGGCAGCCCCCTGGACTTCAACTTCTCCCCGCTGAATGCATCCTGGCTTTCCAATCCGCCTAGTTGTTTTTTGTTTATCATTCGCATGTTTAGAGCTTTGGAGATCATGCGTTCTTG